TTTTTGACGAAGTATTTTGTATTTGTATTTTGATACATATTTGCATGTATTTTGCCCATCCCTGGTCACAGTGGCGATTGCGCGCCGTGCCGTGTAGCAACGAACGTAGTCAACGCAATGAACCAAGGGTTGTTCTTTCGCAATTAACCCAAAACCCTGTCGTTTTGAGCTTTTTTTTTTTCTTGGGGGGGGGGGGGGAGAGAGAGAGAGAGGGGGGGGGTGTCTAGCACCTTATTTGCACGATCCGACTTTATTTGCAATTTCGCCGTTGGGGATTGATATTTTATTAACTGCAAAACTTCCTTCGCGAAGCCGTCCCGTCCCTGCGGCGGAGGGGGACCCCATAAAATTCCGCCGCTCATTCAATACGTCGGTGTTCATAAATATCACACAAGCACAAAACATGCCTCAATCACGTGGTGCGATTTTACTTGCAAATTTGCGGTTACAACGCTGCTTGTAGGGCAAAACAAAAACGTGGTGGAAGCTGCGGTGTTCAGCGTCGCAGTTGCGAACTCGCGAGCGAAATCGCAGCGTGTGAACACGGTTAGATATAGGGAGTATTCATTGGACGCCACATTTGTGGGTGCTGTTTAGAGCGCATGCTCAGAACGAGCTCACATCAATAGGCTGCTAAGACCGGCACTCTTGATGGTGCGGAATGCACGTTGCCAAAGAACTGTGGATGCTCGCCTTTAGCACACGCTCAGCATTCGCGCACACAACTATGGCCGCCAGTGAATACTCCCTATTAGCGATGTGCACGACCAAAAGCGTCGCTGCGGTCAGCTTTCCACGATTGGCCAGACCATGGGCATATAAGCATTGTCAGATTGTCAACTTTGACGGTGTTAGTTCCGGTTGCGATGGTTCTTATAGCTTCCACTGTGCTTTTTAAACGCACCATCGAACTCGTTGTCGCACCTGGTGGTAAGTAGCCAGGGTAACAACATGGTGACGTCACGGCGAAGCAAATCCCAGTCGTGACGTCACGGATGGAAATCATTAGAGGGAGCCTCCGGAATATCTCGGCGTTAATACTACATGTAGTTCGTTCACCCTTTAAACTGAAACTAGAAGCTCCACCTTCAGCGCGAGCTCGCTGGCTTCCGCAGAGCTTTGGTTGCGCGTGCCTGCGCGTTCACACTTGTGTTAGCAAGGGCAGAAAGCTCGCGCTGAAGGCAGAGCCTCTAGTCTCAGTTAAGGGGTAAACGCACCTCCAGCTCGTTCCTCACCCTCCCGCGGCGGAAACGGGAAGCGCTCCAAGTGAGGGTCCCCTGGTTCTCCTGCTCAGCCTGCACGGCGGAACTGCTCGCGATCATGCCTCGCGATATGTCATTTCCGAATGCAAACAACACTCTTCACTGTCCCAATGTAGTGCTGCAGCTGGTATGGGATTGTACCTTACTAGAGAGTTTTAGTATTGATTTTAAAAGCAAACACAACCGTTGTACGTTTGTGTTAGAGTTGAGTGCTTCGCCCCGCGTATGCGCGTCGTCGCCATACGCCAATCTAAGACCGCAAGTTTGAGCTCCGCGCACGCGCATTGTGGAACGCGCAACGCTAACGCGAACACGGTGCTTGCGTTGGCTCGTATACGCAATACTAAAACTCCCTACTATTTCACCGGTTTCCAACGCCGACGAAACACGTGCTGGAGTGAACAGAGGCTGACATTGGCAAAATGACGGCGCGTAAAAATTAAAAAAGCTACATGTTCTGGGAGGATTAATAATGAAAAAATCAAAAACTACATCTGCCTTTTTTTTTTTGGGGGGGGGGGGGGGGAGGGGGGGGGGGGCATTTGGTTTGCAAGGTTTGGCGGCGACTTTGAAAGTTCTGCCGATTGTCAAAAGTCGCGAATGTGATAGCACCGTATGTTTTTCCAAAATTAATGCCATTTTAAATACATTTCTAAGATTGGCTAAAAAGTTTTCATTGATTTTAGACTATTTTTATTTCATAACGTGTTAATTAAAAATGCTGCAATTGGCACCGGTGATAATTTGCACACTCTTGGTTGCCATTCTTATTCACGCGTTTCAAATTCAATCATAAGTAACAAATTATATTAGAGCTTGAAAACCTCCGTATTCAAATATCTTGGTTGTATTATTATTATTAATATTACCAATTGCGGCAATGTAGGCCCCCAATAAACCCCACAATCACAAAAAATACGCCATTTAACCACAATAGTCTTTCCAGAAAGGTTTTATTTTGTTTTCATTTTAGCATATAAAAAAACTGACATCGTTATCAAGACAGACAAGCAGTCGGACACGGCATGTAATATATAGTCCGATGTGAGTAGCTTTAAAAAGCATACACACTTCTGCTGTCTGACTTGGATTCCGTCTTTGGGTTTTTGTAGTGAGCACAGCGTTTCTTAATTTATACATTTTGTGAACATATCCTGAACTCATCAATCGTGAGGAGATTTTGTAAAAATTAGATTGATTATGTTACTTTTGTGCTAGGAATATTGTTACAGCATTTAGTCTTCTAAACACCTGAAAACTCCTTAAAAAGCCCTGAGTTTAATATTTCACATGACAATTATCTGAGCGAGAAAAGGCCGCAAGAACACACAAATATCAGCACTTAATTGTTCAACAAACATAATGCTCTATGTTACTTCTAAGGTTTATGAAAGACCCTGTCTTTAAAAGGATATGGAACTGTTTAAACTATTTTGAAGTGACTGAATCGGACACGTATGTCACAAAATAAAGTTTGCGGGAACACATTTTTAGCTGAATAATTACGTTGAGAGACGCATCATGAGGTATAGAAATTAAATCAACAATAGTGGTTAGTTTCGGTTTCGTTCCAGAATGAAAACGTGCCACCTGTCGTAAATATTACTCTAATCACCGTTTTTGTTTTCAAGAAAAAGAGGTGGACTGCGCTCATGACATCCTAGCTTCCTCGTATGAGCGGGAATAATTTGTGTCGCTCAGTGAAACCAGCACACTAGACAGGCTCGGCAACTGGTGTACCGCCGGCACACCTCTCCGACTCTCACTGAAACCGCCGTTTTAGAAAACGAGTGCCGCCACCTATTGTGAATTGGAGTCGCAAATATGTGTGGGCACCGCGTACGCCGCAGCATGCCAGATGGATGGAGGAAAACGCCTGCAACAAGCAATCGTGTGACGCGGGGCTTGGTCTTCGCACGCGCGAGTCCCATCTAGAAGGACGACCCCAGGCCCGACTCCTCTAGATAAAGGAACAGGGGCTCCAAGACAATACTAAGTTTCGCAGGGTCTCCAAGTGGCCTGATTCACCCTTCAAGTGTAGCTGACCTTAGTTGGAATGGGAGGGAATTGATGGCTTCTTTCCTGATTCGAAGAAAGTGTTGGCAGTTCCATAGAAGATGGGTGAGGTCTGCGGCGAGGTTCTCGAGGCAGTGTGGCCGGGCTTCGGGCTTGGCAAGGTTGTAGAGCATGGCTGAAGACTGATTGCTCTCGTTGGTTTGTTTTGGTTTTTCTGGTTCTGCGTGGCACTGTCTGCCCAGAGTATTGTGGTATGGAGATTAATAGCACTGGACGTTAGAATTCTTCAAAGAAGCAAAGTGTGTCTCCTAGAGAAACCCTTGTGGATGGGGTACGGGTCTTGTAGAAGAGTAGTCGTTTCTTGATGTCTTTCTTGGCTTTCCTCAATGTGTCTTCGGAGTCGTACCTCTGTCCTCCGTCGGCTGAGCTTCCCGGCGAGGAGGAGGCCCCGATTGGCTGGGAGAGGAGGTACTTTACTACCTCTCTCGCAGCCAGGTAGGCCGCCTCGTTACCAGGAATCCCAGTGTGGCCGGGAATTGTGTGTATGGTGACCTGGGCGTCGTATAGATTTCTAATCTTGTTTGCCATGAAGAGAAGCCTCTTGATTGTTGGGCTGGTGGGGTGATATGTCCTACAGCGTCTTATGACATCCTGAAAATCGGTATAGATGAAAATCAATTTGGTAGGGGACTGGAGAACTTGTTCAAAGACGTAGCGTCGGCTTCCTCCAAATTCTTTGCTGTTTTGGTTTCTTTGTCCCAGGTAACTTTGTGGGAAATACGCCACGCAATAGTAGCAACGCTCTCACGGCGGGACGCATCCGCGTAGATAACGACTGTGTCAGGGTCTTGCTTGAGTTGCTCCACCATGCCAATGTGCTTCTGCACAAAGTTTTTCCTTCTCTCAGGGTGACTTGGACCCAAGTCACCCTGAGAGACACCGCGATGGTGTCTTGCAGCGCCTCGCTGCAAGACACCATCGCGGCGACGCAGGCGCGTGATATAAAGGGCGCTGCGGGAATCCACGATGTTAGAGGTTTAAAGGCCTTGTCTTCTAGATGGTCATCTCAAAAGGATAAGGACATCTTGGCTTGTCTCTCTCGGATGCCTCCATCATGTTGCCTTCCGCGGTGCTTTGGCTGCCTCACGGGAGGTTCTATAGAAGGTCTCCCGCTGGAGGCGCGACAACTGCTCTTTGCCGTTCTGAATCCTGTCAGTGGCCGCAGGCGACAAAACACGCATAGTGCTGAATGTTTAGCGTAAGTGAAACGAGACCAGCACGTACGAAACACAGATTAGACGTGACTAAGTGCGCGTTCCGTTAAGACTCTTTTTTAGACAATGAAAACACGACTCCTAACGCTGACGCAGAACTTGGGCCCCGCGTTGAGCCTTCTTTTTTAAGTGGCGCTAAAGATTCGGCACTGCGGTTTTCTCAGGTCACTGACAGGATGAGAACGACAGGGAGGCCTTTTTTCAGTTGTCCCTCCCCCAGCGCGACCGTGTATACCTTCGAAACACGTCGCGTGAGATTATAGTGCGCCCGCGCTTCCGAAGCACGACGGAAGGCAGCCAGCGCGTGCTGAAGGCTGGGCTACCGAAAGACACGACCTGCCGTTGTGATTCTCTCAGGGACTGTAGTAAATGTTGGCTCTATACGCTTCCGGCGTGATTTCAAGCGGCGCGAACGGACGCTTGTCGTAGGAGCCTGGTCATCCTCCATCGGCACCCCGTCTCTTCCCATGACCAACGCGGCTTCAGGCGGAAGCAGCAGGAGTCCCGGTCAGCTACAGCGGCTCAACATCTTCCGTCAGGGGGCCCTTCGACGGAACCTGGACCTGCTCTTTCTCGACACGGGTCCCCTCACGGCCAAGAAGATCGAAGGTACGCACAGGCATAGAGAGTTTTAACAGATCTTTCCGATGTCTCTGATAACCAAACCCGATACTCCGCCGCCACCTTTACGCATGTGTCGTATCGTTATCGGGTACCATAATCGGGGATACCCGAACAATCTGCTAAAACTCTCTAATGTTTCAAGACGCTCCTCCAGAAAAAACACGGGTGGTGTCACTAAACCTTAGCCCAGAGTCATAGATAGCGAGGGCCCCAAACCACAGTGCCCCCGGGAGATACTCGAAGTTCGAGTGAAATTTTAGCTCCTTTTCTTGCCTTGTTCAAACTAAAGTTCCTCTCTTTTCCTTCCACCACGGTCGACATTAAAGTTCCTTGAAACTTCTTTTTAGAACTAACGGCAACCAACACAAATGGCGAAGGACATTCCGATGGAACAAAATGACGCCATTCAGTTCAATCTTCTGCTGTGCGCCGCCATCCGCTCCCTAAAATCTGCACCGTCACGCAGTCAGCCAGTCAGCTCTCCAGAGAAAGTGGCTATAGTCGACACTAAAGTTCCTAGATAAAAGAGGAATCAAGGGACTTTAGACGACTCTTAGAGTCTCTAGATAACAGCTTCCTACAGATAGCGACATTTTTGAACCGCCGACTGCGTGACGGTACAAGTTTTAGGAAGCTAATGGGGGAAAAGGGGGGGGGGGGGGGGGGGGGGGGGGGGCGGCGATCAGCCGAAGACTGAACTGAATCACGCCATTTTGTTCCCGCGGAATGTACTTCGTCTTTTCAATTGGTTGTCGTTACTTGTAAAAGGAAGCATAAAGGGACTTTAGTCCTGTTGGAGTCACCTAACGTCACGGTGCACCGGTGGCGGCGCAGAAAACGAGGTGCCTGCTTAGGATGTTTCATCAGAGTTTCATCAGAGTTTTATTGTGTTTCCCAAACAGCTTTAGGGGCCTTTTAGGATTACACTTCACATTATAAGACCGCACTGAACTAAACAAACTACACGGCAATCCTAACTAAAATACTATTCTTGAACTTCTAAAAAGGTATAAAAAAGTCCACGTGAGGGTTAAAATACTTGTTGTACGTGAGAATTATCCGTGTCAGCGGGGGACTGGACTCTAGATAAGAGGGGTAAAAAAAAAAGAGTAGACCTATTTTGTCGCTGGGGGACGTGAATTGAGATTCTAGTCAATAACATTGGGGAATCAAAAGCAGAATTAAACAACTTATATAAAAACACCATGTCGTGGACTAGTCGCCTAGTTGAAACAGGCAAAAGACCAAGAGTGCCCTTCTTTCGAAGAGATTATCACGTGCCCTCTTTGTTTCTTTCTTATTCACTGACCTTCTTTTTTTTTATATATATATATGAGTACATGGTTGGTTTGGAGCAAGATCGCAACGGCACTGCTGTTATCATCTCCACTATGACGGTGGAGACCACAGCAGATGGTGATATTCATGTCCGACGTTTTGAAACACACAGCCGGAAAACTTTGGGCAAGGTATAAATTCCGTTTTGTTTTGTTGTTGTTTTTGTTAAGAAAAATTGACGGTGTGTATGTGCGTCTTGTTGTTTGTTCTTTTTTACCTTGAATCCGACAGCCTCTTCTACGACAAATAAAGGCAGTTCAATACTTTAGCCCCATGTTCCAGGAGAAAAGGGGACCGTCAAAAACATTTTTTTTTAACTTTTGTCAAAATATTAGGCGCTAGAGAACATCAGCCATCTGCGTTAGATCCTTATTTCGAACACTTTTGTTCACTGATTAAGGTGATCGTGTTGGTGATTATGAATATTTAAAATAGAAAGAATAAAAACACGAAGGACTTTCACAGACAACAACACACTTTCATTCAGCAATGATGAATGTTTATTTCCGGGCGCGAAAAATTTTACATGTTCACCAGAGCGAGGAAGGGCTGAAGGAGAGGAGGCTACAGTCGGGAGCGCCGATAAAGGTTGAGTCACCATACCGTGACTGCCCATGTTCGCCTCCCGACCCCTGAGAAACACGACGGAAGAGCCCAGCTACGCACCTGATCTCGATACACCACCGTCTCCTTCCGCACAATAAAGTTCGTCTGCTATGTTCACCGAATGTCAACAGACGCGCATGTGAACGCAGCGTCTGAACACGGTGCACTAGTAGTCTAAAGCCAGCTATAACCGCGCCATCCTACAAATGCCGTCTGCTACCAAAACGCTAGCTTAGGCTCCAAGCTAAACTGCCAAAACGTCCGTGCTGCGCACCCCTCTGTTCGCTCCACTTCGCTTGGGGAAACCATTGCCTCCTCTATACTCACAAAGCCTGGCAGTTCGACGACGGAGCCATCGAGTGCCCGGTCGCAGATTTGGTGAGCGAGGATCTGGTAGCACAGGGGACCAAGGAGCCATTTCTCGGGGAACCTGGACGTCATTGCGTAGATTCGCAGCGCGAGGACCCGCAACAGACTGTTCGCTCGGGAGAAGTGTGTGTCGGCGTATCGCCGCAGCGGGGCACCAGTCACGTGGCTCTCCTCTCATCCGTTGTCTGCCGCTCCACCTTTTTCATTTCGGCGGCCGCCTCTCGTGGCGATCTGCCAGGCTTTGTGTGTACATAGGACGCTATGGGGAAACTCTAACACGGAGTTTTCGTAGGGCGTTTTCTCGCCTGCGCTGTGCTCTCCGGAACGAAGACTTCACTACTGCGCATGCGCGGCGCTAGCATTGCCTACAGAGTCGAGGATCTCGTAGCGGGTTGCGAAGAACTTTGCGGGGCGGCGGAAACGATCTACAAAAACTCCCTAACATAATCTCAGGCCCGAGTATGCACCATGCCTCGTCGGAACCGCCAAGGGTTCGCCTACTACTACAACGTGAGAACTACTACTACAACGTGAGAACTGCAACTACAACGTGAGAACTACAAATACAACGTGAGAACTACTACTACAACGTGAGAACTACAACTACAACGTGAGAACTACTGCTACAACGGCGACGGCTTTCCGCTCACAGCGTCGATGTCCGACAACGGTGCGTCCGATTTTGGCTAGCGTTGCGGCGTTTACGTTAGCAGACAACGTTCGGAAAATGACATCTCCCGTTGCTGGCTTCAGATGCTGCGTTCGCCCGTCCTTTCATAATGAAGAAGCTTCGTGGCCATGGTGACGGTGACGATAGCAGACGGACTTTATCGTGCGTGACAATAAGGCGGGGTGGCAGGTTCAGGTGTGACCGACTTTGGCTAGCGTTGCGGCGTTCATGTTAGTTAGCAGACGACTTTCGGAAGATGGCAATTCCCTTCGCTGGCCTCATACACTGAGTTCGCGCGTTCCTTCATAATGAAGACAGTTCGTTGCTATGGTAACGCTGACGATGGCAGACGGACTTCATCGTGCGGAAGGATACGGCGGGGTGACGCGATCAGGCGCGTACTTCGGCTCTTTCACCATGCTTTTTAATGGGCGGAATGTGAACAAAGAGTTCGAAATAAAGATTTGACGCAGATGGCTGGTTTTCTCCAGCACCTAATATTTTGACGATCCTTACCCGAAAAGTATGTTTTGAGCTCGCAATTTGGACCGAGTTTCTTGTATACTGCAACAGCAGGCTTTTTGAATAGTGTTACAACTATTTCGAAGTACTCGCGCGCATAAGCCAAGGCCTTCCCGTTGGTACACTGGAATAATCTGGGGCGTAATTTCAGTTTTGCGAGGTTATTACTCACGCATTAGATAATAATGGAAGCAATGATGTTTCCTTCTGAGTACCATAATTTATTTTTGTATGCTACCCTAATACTGCGTTATTTTTACTCTTTGTGTTCTATCCAATACTAGTTAATAAGAAATAAAAAAATATCTAAAATTTAATGCATCAATCTTATCGATCAATTTAAGTGGTCAATTGTGTTACAGGCTCTCATGAATTCAAAAACAAAAGTTATGCTATTCTGATTAAGAGCTTTGTTAAAAGTAGCAGCACAACCTTCAAGCAACACAGTTGTACTTTTTCCCTTGCTGAACCCGCACTGAGAGTAGTTATTAAATGCATTAAATTAATTACAAAATGAGTTCATTCATTTGGCGATATACATTTCTATAGTATGAGAAGCCTCTGGCATAATCGATAACGGTTTCTACCTAACGGACGTACAATCGCGTTTTGTTTTTACCGTGCGGTGAATTGGCGCGGCTTAGCGATGTGTTTTTGGATTCTGCTGGTTCCTTCTGTTTCCACACCGGTCGCGTGCTCGGCGAAATGGGCTGAAAGAAGCGTCCCCGCGACTCACCGTCCCTGGTGTCGCCCGGCCGGCAGAGGTCCTGGAAGGAGGCAGTGACCGGCCTCAGATAGGTCAGGTAGATGCTCCGGATGTCTTCCGAGCACTGAGACGTCTCTCGACGGAGGCACTGCTTCGCTTTCTCCATCTCCCTGCGGACAGACCGGGAGGCGTTTGTGGCGCGGCGAACACCGATTTGAGACTGCCGAAGACGCAAAACTGACTCGCTGGGAAATCTTCCGGGAACCCTCGAAGGACATTGCTTGCTCCTCGCGTTGGTCTTGCCCTAACGAGGACGGCTATGGGGAATTGACTTTTTTGGAGTAGCGAGAGCCGTCTGTTAGGTGTTTTGTGCCAACTACAGCTGAAGGGAAGCCCATCCACTCGTCAGAAGTCATTGGCACCGTGCTCTTGTATCGAATTTCTTTGCTTTTCCTGCTTCATACTGCCCACGCTCAAGAAGAAAGTCGTCGAAAATGACGAAGCAGGCGCTAAGCTGGTCAGGCGGGACGGTGCCCTTCCAAAAAAAAAAAGGACGACAAGGGGAAGGAAGGGTCAGGGGAGAGACTTACCGAGTAAAGGTTCATTGTTTCAGCAACACAGCGCGGCTGTTGATTTGACGTCAAAGCGCCCGCGACCAATGGCATAGCGCCGCGCGCAGCGGTGGGTAAACCAACAGCAGCTATATGAACAAAAAGTAAGGGCGCAAACGAGCTGGTGTACATTGCACATGGTTGAAAAAACCCAGAGACTGCG